AGTAGATACCACATGTTAGGTGTATGGCTCCTGAGTGACTGAATTCATGAACAGACAAGGTGATCTTAAGGTCTAGGCTCTCTAGGAAAGGATCTGATGAAAACAGCTTAGAAGGAAATGGAAGTCAGGAAATAGGAGGTTTCAGTGAAGAGAAACCCCAGGCACAGCGGGAGACAGAGTGAGGGCAGGGGGCTGTCATCAGAATGTGGAAGAGTGACATCTGAAAGTCCAGCATGGGGGCAGTTCTTGGGTGTTAAGCTCTAGTAGCTGATTGTGCAGATAAAGCACTCTGGTAATCAGGGAAAAGGCGCAGGTTTTGGCATTTGAGGCTGCTCGAACAGCGAGATACCCAGCTCTTTAACTACAGCAAAGCCACCATGAAGCAAGCCCAGCCCATGCACACAAAGCGGATTCGTTTTTCAGTGCCTCACTTTTCAGCCCGAATAGACAACCAGAGGTTACCAGACAGTCGGGGAAAGGCTCACATCAGAGCGATTGTAGGGGAAGAAGCATCCAGGAAGGAAGCAAGGGTAATGCGGAAAATTGAGAATAGCCTCAGAAAACTCCTAACTGATACCCTCAGCTAGGCTAGAGATGATTTGCATCCGTAAAACAGGAACAGAATAGTGCGGAAAAATAGCAACTTGAAAATAAGAAAGATATTAAAAATCTTAAATATCATAGGATAAAAAACTAGGAGATTGGAAGACCAAGTTCAGCCAGGCACCCGGAAAATTGAGAACAATAATAAGAAGGACAGAGTAGGAAATATAAAAGATAAACTATAGCTGATTGATCCAAGAGGTTCAATATGTTATTTAGAAGATGTAAAATATCTTCAAAAAAATAGAGAACTGAAAGAAATGTTTCTGTATTGAAAGCATGAGCCCTGTCCTAAGCACAAATAGTGGGGTAGAAGGATACTAATGCAGACCAGCATGAAATTTCAGAATCCTAGGAATAAGGAGAAACTTCAGAAAATCAAAAAAATAATCACCTCAAAAGGACTGAAAATCAAGGTGACATCAGATTTCTCATGAGCGGGTTCTAGATGCTAGACTGGCGGCCCAGTTCCTTCTGAGTTGGTTTGCAGCCAGGACGTCTATACTCAGCCAGGCCATCAGTGAAATAAAAAGGTAGCCTGAAACTGTTTTCAGACATGAATCTGCAAAAATTACCATCCACACACCCTTTCTTGAAAAGATACTTGAGGGTGTTTCCCAGCAAATTGAGGGCATAATTCAAGGAAGAAGACAAGGGAAGTCACAGGATGACTGTGTTAGTAAGTTTCAACATCAATGAATGGATGACGATGTTTTACTGAGGAGTTCACACATGTTCCATCTGCTTAGTCTGTTGGTTCCTCCTTTCCGTTGTATCAGTCTGGGTTATTAGAAATGACACATTTCTATCACACACATCAAAATTTTTATATAAAGAATAAACTATGAAAAAAGTTAGTGTGGGCTCCAAAAAGATATACAGGTGTCCAACATATGAAAAGATACTTAGCCTTACTAATCATTAGGAAAATGCAAATCAAAACCATTATGAGGTACTTACAGTAGTCAAGTGACTAGAAAAAGAAACCAGTATGGTGTTTGCAGGATGGGGGTGCAGGTAATGGGGAGCTGTTTATGGGAAGTTCCAGTTTAGCAAGATGAAGAGAGTTTTGTTGGAGGTCAGTTGTCAGCAGTGCACATATAACATTACTAAACTATACACATAAAAATGGTGAAGATGGTAAATGTTATCTATAGTTTACCACAATTGAATCTTAAATAGGTAGAAGATATTAGACAACTGCAACAGAAAGTGCTCCCAGCCCTCAGTGAGCAAGACTGAAGACTCTGGAAAGGAGATTGGGGAATAGTAGGGGAGAAGGCTGATACTTTAAACTGGGGGACGGGAGGGTGTAAAAACCAAAAACAGAATTTTTGTAAGGAAAATAATGTAAGAGGGAAAAGAAAAAAACAATTAGGAGCTCTAGGGAAAAAAAACAGCTACACAGAAAGTAAATGTGAGTCTGCAGTGAACATCTGCAGATTCTTTAGAAAGCAAAGCCGTTTATTGATTTAACTAAAACTGGTGATGGGGTGGAAGATGGGGTGCTGTAAGACCGTAAGAACCAAATTGTGTTCTTCCCTGTAAGAATTAAATCGTTAGTGTCTCAAACGAGTAAGCCGAGAAATAGCAATCCAAGCATATAATGTAGAGTTGTGGAGAAACTGCTCTCCACATACATTGAAGTATATAATTAAGGGGGAAAATAATGCATGGAAGGGAAGATAAGTGTATAGCCATATAGAGAGAGAATATTCTTAAAGATAACCAAGAAGCTGTTAACATGTTACCTCTAAGAAGAGGGCCTGCAGGCATTGAAAAGAGTCAGTTTTTTGTTGCATGTCTCATGTGCTGTTGATCGTTTTTCCATGAGCATGTATTAGTCTATAAAGTAAAAATGTGATTCAGTGTTGATCTTTGAAGTTACTAATGAAAATATGGCAGAAATCATATACTGGGAATTAGAGGCAGAAGAAATTACTGTTAGTTATGGGTAACTTAGATAAAATTCCATTAAAAAGCATACGTTTGAATTGTGCTTTGTCAGAGAAGCATGAGCTCAGGCACAAAAGTGTAAAATGTTTCATGGCTACATGGGCTGTTTATTTACATGTTATTTTGCTGTTATAGTCTACTGGTTGGGAAATAGCTGTCTCTTACTGAGTTTTCAGAGTAATAGAATTAAGCAGAAGTCATTTTTGTTCCATCTTCTATTGAATACCTTTTAAAAACAGCTATATTTCCCTACTTTGCTAAAGTTTAGTATCTGAAGATAATTTAAAGATTTCATTGTGCTGTAGATTAAGGAAGTATAATAACAGATGGGCGACCATACATACCTGGTTTTTATTTATTCATTTTACCCCCAAGATGTGGGCAGCAGTGTGATGGTTATAGTACTAAGCGATCACTCACAGGGCTTGTCTATACCTTATAAGGATTTTTAAATGCAGATATCTTAATGTCTCTGCACCTTTTAACATGGAAATATTCCTGGAGTGTATCATCTAAGATAATGAATAATAACCATTTCCCAAACTTGACATAGGTACTGACCTTTAAAAGCAGTGTACTCAACCTTGGCTGAACGTTGGAGTCAATCTGGAAGCTTTAAGAACTGCTCATGTCTGAGTTACAGTCCCAGAGATTTCACTGAAAAGAGTTGCAGCCTTGGCATTGGAGGTGTTTAGAACTCCCTGAGTAATTCTGAAAAGCAGCAAAGACTGAGAACCAGTTTTAAAGGAAGGATATGCTCTATGCCCCGCCGTCCATCCAACGCGACATTGATTTAGATTATTTTTACTATGATAGGGTTTAAATATGTACAAACAACTGAAATATGTGCAAATTAACACAAATTCCTTATGCATGTAGTTGTAAATAAAACACATTTATAAATTAAAACCAAACTCCAATATTAGTAAATTCAAAACCGACATTAATGAATTGGGTGATGTTTTACTGAGGCTTTTGTGTGCGCTGCTCCTTGTGCTTAGGGAAAGTTCATCATAAGTAGTCGTTAAACTGTGATGGGGAGCACCTGTAGAAAACCGTGTGGCACTGAGGGCTGAGGGATTGTGCCCAAAGCAGGACTGATGGGAAGGGGCCCCTCCCCAATGCTGGGGTTCAGACTCTCTGAGGGCGTAGTCGCAGCTCACTGAACGGCAGAGCAGCCCCCTGGCTTGCCCAGGACGGCTGGTCTGCAGTTGCTTGGCTGCAGGAAGTCCTCCTCAGGAGCACAGGACCCATGTAGGAAAGCCACAGCCATACAGGATGTGGGGACATGGGCACCCTGGTGGCAACCCTCCTGGTGGCAAGTTGCTGTTGCTGGTGGGCATTTCCCAGAGGAAATGGGGTATCAGTACAGCAGGAGATGGGGAGCATATGGTGTCCTCATCAGGAGGGCCATGTCATTGGGAGGCCTGTGACAAACAAGTGCAGGGGTGTGCCAGAGGCCGAGAGTGCATGGTGTCTGTGTTGAAAGAGTCGTGGGAAGGTGACACTAGACATGCCAGAGCTGTGAGGTTGCAGAAGGACCACCCTTTCTGGCTCATGGCTGGAGTCATCACTGGTGTCCCCATAGCCACATGCTGACCCTGCCTTGCAGCAGCCAGACACAGCGGGAGACCCTTTTCTCCTGCAGTGTCCCTCCAGAGCCCTCCTCTGAGAAAGCTCTGCATTATGCTCACTGGAGAGGCAAAATGCTTAAAGGAACTGTCCATTATTGACGAGCACGTAGTAAAGGGTGAATTTGGAGCAAACAAGCAGTAGATTGCTAACTGACACACCTTCCCATGCCAGCCAAATGCTTCAGCAACATTTAAGCCCTAGCTTTAAGCTGCCTGACTTTTCCAAGCAACATTGCTGTATGTTGTGTTCCCGTGTTCACCATGCTCTATAGGGATCTTTGTTTAAAAAACAATTGGTTTGTCAAACAAATACATAATTAGAGTATGCATAATAAGAATTACCTCCAAAGAGTCAGATTTGTTTGGGCCAGGGTGGAATCCAGGAGTCTGCCTTTCCAGTAGGTCCCTCATGGTGATGGTGGCCCCTGAGACAACACTGAGAAATGCTGATCTAGGGCTGGACTGTAGGAACAATGTCTTACTCCATTTTGTACCCTTATTGCCTAATACACTGCCTAACAGAAGGCTAGGCTCCACACGCGGGCTGAACGACCAACGCACCCACTAAAGGAGCCAGGGCAACCTGCTGTGGCCCTGGAGAAATGTACCCGGTGGTGGGCAAATGGCCACTAATAACACCTCTTTGTACCTCCCACTTGTTCAACTTGGTTTGACTTAAGACTTTCTGCAGCTAATGCTTTCTCATTTTTTTAAAAAAAGACATTATGCTAGTATCGCTTTCCTTTATATTTAATAGGGAGAAAGAACAAGAAACACAAAAAGAGAAACGTTTGATGGAAGAAAAGAAAAAGAAAAAGCAGGAAGAAAAGAAAAAGAAGGAAGGTGCTCAGAAAAAGGTCTGGCAAGTCATTGCTTCATTGTCTCTGATCAGAGGCGTCTCATTTGCATTATCATAGCCTTGACAGTACAAAGTCTTATTTCTTCAGAAATCAATATGCTAAATCTAGAAGTAGCAAAAAAACAGATTTTGTGCTAGTAAAATAAACATAGAGTGACAACCACAGAATTTGTGTCTTTCTTATAGAACTAGAAATATTAAAGCTGTATTTTCAAAGTTTGATTTTAGTTGGTGTTGGTAGAGAATGTCCATGTGCTGTTTTATTTAAAATGAACTGTCCAGACAACCGTACCTAAGAAATGGACAAAGGGCCATTTAACTGATTTTATTAGAAAAGCTAGAGATAATTTTTGCAGCTGTGGTAAATGTTCTTTTACAAAACCTTTTAGTACAGATTAAAAATTAAAAGCCCTACTGTAAATCTTACAGTCACACTTGGATTTTATGACATTTAATACACCAAGCTGTGCCGTTTGTTTTTTTTCTTGCCGAGTTTAATGTGTCTCACAGTTGAAACTGCCTAATCTTTAGATTATATTAAAATACAGACCTCAAATGAGATTCCAGATAGTTTTTTTCTTTGAGATCAATATTGATGTATAATCAATGGCATGTAGACAGTTATACATTTTTCCCAGTAATTTAATAAATTCACTGGACAAAAACCTCTTTTTGAAATTTTCAGTGTTAAAATCTGCTTATAAACTTTCATAGATGTGTACATCTATACATTATTATTCCTAAAGAGTTTTTTTTTTTTTTTCAGGCTGCTGATCAAAAAACCAAAGGTAAGTTTATTTTATTTTGGGGGGATACATTTTATGGCAGTTCCAAACTTTTTCTGATGAAGATGACATTTCATTTTTGTTGTTGATGGTTAAAAACAAGGAATAAGAATCTAACCCTGCCTTTGAATCTTCCTTGTATTATTCACCGTGAAATTCTTCATTTATCACTGCTTTTACATCTGCATTTCATTGGTATTTGCTTAATCTAAAATGCCTAGAGAATACTATATCAGCTTTGTAAACAATACTTTATAATTTTCCTTAGGTTTGATTTTCACCAAAGGTTAAACCAATGAAATTGATCCAATTTAAATAAGAACAACCAAAAGATAGTGAATTTTTTGAAGCTTCCAATTTCTCTTCCAACTATTTACATAACAGGTATACTCTTTCTGTATTCATCCTTTGCTTATTGATACATAAAAGGTTTTCTTTTTATTCTCTCCAAGTCTAGATTTTGCTTATTATTGTCTTAATTTGTATTGTAAACACATTTTGTTCTTACGGTGACTCGAGGCATCCCTTTGTATTTCCTGGAAAATGAGCAAAATGGAAGGCACACTCTGAGCCTCTTCACTTCATACTTGGCATGGTTAGGGACTTCCCGGTGGTGAAGGGCAGCCGCTCAGGAGTCTCAGACACCAGCTCTCCTTAACTTGGGGCAAATCACTGCATTCCTTTGGGCCTCAGGAATCTCATATTTAAAGTGAGGAAGGTAATGAATGAATGGTTCCTGCCTCAGAAAGCTATTACAAAGATTAAATGAGGTCATGCATGAAGAGGGCCCAGGACCTGTGCATAGTCAGTGTTCAGTAGAGGTCAGTTATAATTAAGTGTTATGTTTTAAGTTTTTTTTTCTTTTGGACCATCCCATGTACACAGTTGCACATGCTGGCATGTGTACTACAAAGACGTGGGAGAGAGAGTGCTGCTGAGGCAGAACCACCAGTAATACTCTGTTTCCGTTGTCACTTTATAGTCTTCAAGTTAAAGTTCATGTATATTATCTCATTTGAACTTGATAACTGAGGAGAACAGGTGTCCGTTTACCAAGAAGAAACTGAGGCTTTAGCGTGAGTTGAGTGCTTGCTCTTGGTCGAGCAGTTAGAGTGAGCATGGGACTTGGGCGAGCTCAGGCTTCTGGCGCCAGGGCAGTGGGCCCAGAGCCCCTCCGCCGAGTCCCGCTGAGATTCGGATTCATAGAAAACGCATAGTGAAAGGCAGTGTGATTCTCAAGAAGGGTATTTCCTCTCTACACTCTCAGAAGCAGTGTGAATTTATATAATACTTTTTCTGAAGTGTCCAAAGGATTGTGGTATGTAGTTGTATATTAATTTATGTCTTGAATAAGAGTAATTTCTTAGAATTACTATTTAAAAGTACAGAATTATTGTTTTGAATCACTTTTTTTTTTTTAACATTTTGGGACGTTTTTACAATCTGATTCAATACCAGCTGTATTCTGTTGTCATTGTGATTGTTTTCAAATAGTAATGAGTTGCGTATGATTGTATAGTGATCATAAGTTAGACTTTCCTGCCACCGCTTACTTTCTTTTACTGTTCTGGGGAGTATTTTCGTTGTTGATTCCAAACTCTGCTGGGCTTTTATCTTCTCTAAAATACTGCTCCTTGGGGTACAACTTGTCAGTAACTCTGTTAACCACTAGCCTTAGAACAGATCGTAATTATGATTATTAATGTTCCTCTAAACAAAAACAATATTTTTTGAATTATAAATAATATAACGGAGCTACTAGGTAATTAATGAATATTAGCAGCATCAAAGTTTAATTTTTCCTCAGACTCTCCATTATTAGTGGTTCAAATCATAATTATTAAGTGCCTGCAAGACAGTAGTGACCAGAATTTGTGACCAGACACATGTGTGATAACAGGCTAGGCCTGACTGAACATGTGGTAGTGCTCACACATAAGAGATATTTCTCTAACCTCCTAGTATTTAAATGTATTTCCCCTGCTCTAGTCTGTGTATCCTAAAGGGCAGGGGCTGTTTCTGCCTTGCCCATTCTTATATCCCCTGCTCCTAGCACTGTGTGCGGTCAGTAAGCCAAGGTCAGCACCCTCACCAGCCAGCTGCCTTCATGCCAGACCCTATACAAGCCTGTTTGTGTATTATTTCTCATGGTTAATGGTGGGGTCTTCAGTGTACACAATAGTAAACTGAAGCTATGAAAGTTTGCCAGTGCCCCTAAGAGTGCGTAGCTAATGAATAGCAGGACTGATGTGCCCAGAATCTTCCTGAACTCACAGCATCCAGGAAGGGCACACAACAGACATTTACTGAGTATCTACTTTGTCTCGGTACCTACCATGCTTCAAAACAGTCCTGAATCAGGAACAGAATCTCAGAGAGGAATGGTAACTTAGACAAAGTCACAGAGCCAGTGAATGGCAGAATTTAATCCTGCCTCCGACTCCAGAGCCACGTCATGCGTCCTGGCCAGATGTGACCGCTCTGGAGTCAGCAGGAGCTGCAGGGAGGGCTCTGCTCTCATCCCAAAGCAGCATCCAGGGTTGTGAGTGGTCAGGATGTAGAAGAGAGTTTAGCAATTTGAGGGAGTCTAAGGGTTGAATACTCTTACGAGAGAGGTTTCAGTTATAAATTAGATTGTATAATGTTGAACCAACATAGTAGGAAGAAGTTTGAGTTGATTTTAGTTCGATGATTGGCTCAAACTAGACGAAATCAGTCAGTAATTTCCTTGCAGTGCTTTATACACACTGCTCAAATGGTGGTGTTAGTAAAGCCATACCTACAGTATTTAGCATTATATTTGAGTTAATATCCTCAGTTACTGAAATATAACCTCTTGAAATTTTTATTTTGAATATTTTCTGAGAACTTTTTACAATATAAGTACACACCCATGTTATTTATACCTTCCTGCTTTCTCCCGGAGAATAGCCTAATCCACTCTTGATAGATTAGCCCTCATTTTAATATGCTTAAAAAGTCTTTTTTAATCTGGCTGTAACCTTGAACTTGAACTGTGACTCTTCATTTAAAAGACTTAAAAACAACTGAATCATACTAGAAATTTATCCCTTTTGATTAACTTAATCTAACTAATATATAGCATCTCCTGCCTACCCTCCCAACTCTGAAAACTAGGTTTCTAGAAAGTCTGCTTTACAAAATTACAAATAAAATTTTGTCCTTGACTCGTTTTTCAAATCCAGACCTGTGATTTCTTTGAAGTCATTTTCTTCTTATTTTAAGATTGAGACCAGATGAGTAAGTTTATTTGAAACACTGTGCTTCCAACATTCACGCTCAGTGTCCTGCTCTGATTCAGGTGGGACCCTAGTTCAGGTCTGGAGGTTTCATTCAGATAGTGGATCTCCTGTTGCCTTTCACCAGTTTCCTCGTCCCTCTCTACCGAGTCTCATTCCCCCTGTGGAGTTGATGTCCTCCACGCCTCAGGAATCTGAGTGGTCTGTGACCTGGAATCCTTTTTCACTGCCTTCTAGTCTTGCAGTCACTTTTTCCTTATTTTTCCTCCTATGATGAAAAATACATTCTCACTGAATATATATTCAATATATTGAATATATTCTCATTGAAAAAATTTGAGCATAATCTAAAAAGAAATTAAAGTTCACTTGAAATCCCTTCATCCTTGATATCTTAATGCTAGTTCACATTTTGTTGACTGTTCTTGAATGCATGTCTTCATGAATACATATATGTAAATATATATTTTATGTAGACTCTCCACTGCTGCCCCAGCCCCCATCTCCTGCCCCTTAGTGAGCTCTACTAAGCAGTTAGAAAACCTGTGTATGAGCCTGTTCACAAAATAATCCCTTGTAGATTCTGCCGAACATTGTCTTTGCATTAGTAGCAACCAAAGAGAGCCTAGTGAACACAGTGACCTGTTAGGTCCTAGTGAGACCCTCGATACTCTCATAGTGGGAGGAAGGGGGGTCAGATACAATCCTGCTGCAAAACACCATTGACTCTTTTGTATTGTATTTCTGCTGTGGAATAACTGGTGTCTTAAGTGTCAGACACTTTATAATGGGTTTTGCTTCAGTGACCTCTTTTCTGAATTGTAGGCACTACCCTTAATTTGGGCGTACATAGATAATGATAGCTTTATTTGTGATGTGATGTGATGACTTTGTAAACCTCAGTTTTCCATATTGTCTTCTGGGATTTCTCATGGATTTAATGGTGTTTTTTAGGATTAACTATAATAAATAATACTTATAAATGTGAAGTGCACTTAGTGCAGTGGTTTTAGCCGTATGTTGTAAAGTTCATAAAATAGAAGGAAAAGTTTTCATACAAAAAGCTCAAGTTCATTATATCATGTATGAAAGAGAATATCTTGATAACCAGTATAGCTCATACTCTGATTAATGATTTATGGTTTTGTGTTACTTATTTTTATAAATTCATACATTATAATTAGTCTTCTAATCTTTCTTAAAAGGACTGTAATTTAAATTTTGTAGTCAGGTATTCAACTTTGCCATACATATAGTTTTTAATTGTTGATTTTAAGAAAACCTTTATATGCTTTTGTTAATAGAAATCAGTTAAAACTGTACTCTTAGTAGTCTTATATTGATTGAGTGGTAAGGGTTTTGGGGTCACAGATTATATGCACTTTGCTGTACTGCTGTTAAAATTCATTCTCTAAACATATGTTTATAAAGCTTTTTTGTAAAACATGTATTAAAAGTAGTGAGAATTGAGGTTTAAAACATACCTTCCCATTTTCATAGTCAGATAAAAATAAAAACAAACATGTGAGTCCACATTTCTGCATTTTTCCAATTAGGTGGCACTTACGTTTAGCTGAGGCAGTTGATTGCTGTTTGCTTGGTCTTTTGAGAGTCTAACACAGTATTCAACAGTTAGTATTTATACAGCATCAGGTTGTGTGTTTTCCCGAGTTATACTGTGCAGTGAAGTTGGCCAGATTCCTTGGGTTTTCCTGTATTCACATCCATACCCACATAACCAAA